GGAATCTTTAATTTTTTTGTTTTTTTTTTAATTTTTAAATTTTATTAATTTTAATGAACATTTACAGAGATTTTGGGTTATCATTCATTCATTGTTGTACTATTTTCTCTACCCTCCTCCCCAGTTTGTTCTTCTTTTTTATCCCCCCCCCAAAAGTCTGTTTTAATTGTCCATTTGCCACAGTGCTTGTCAAAGCCAGTTCTGATTCATCTCCTTTGTCAGTGTGTCCTTTGCCATTTCCTATCACTCCTCCCTGAGAGAGACTTCACGAATCTTTAATGTTTTAATATAAATTACAGTATTGCTGTTAGAATTTAAACATGACTCCATCTATATTCAACTTTTCAGAGCATCTTTTATATATATGGAGTAACTCTTGGGATACCAGATACCATTTTAAAACAGATGAGGAAATTGAACTCAGGAGAGCACATGCGTTATCAGCCTAAAGCAATTAAAAAAATTAAAATGGTTTTAAAGCCAAATGTAAGCCTGTAAGGTTGCTGTTGAATTTAAGTTTACTTTCCCCCCCTCCAGGTCTTTATCTGTACCATATGCTTATCAGTGCTGTGCATTTTGGGGTTGTGACTCTTATGCAAATTCAAACACAGAAGATAGCAGCCTCCAAGAACATAGTGTGGCAAAGGATAAAGGTAAGTGGAAGGACTTTTTAAAATAGAACAGTCTTTAAGTCACACATCATTGCTTTTGGTATTGTAATCCATTTGTGGAGGAACAATAAGAACACTACAGACAAAATGGAATTGACTTTGTTCCTGACATCGTTGCTATGTTGCCTAGCCTGAAATTCCTGGAAAATAAGCATCTTTTAATTGCACAATATTTTAAACAAATATGTTTCATGTTCGATTATGCAGGTACTGCAGAGACAGCAGGTGTTACAAGCAGCTCAGAAAATGAAGAGCACAGTCAAATAATCATCCACTGTACACCTTCAACAGGTAGGGAGGGTCTCACATTGTCCTGAAGTTTCTCACTGTTAGCCATCATCAGACATCGTCATTGACGTTTAGAGGTGATTTCTGTGATGGGCGTGGGATGGTGACGTAGCCTCATAAAACTTGTAACTCAACGTGGTCTGTGGGTTGGCAGCATGGGCCTCCTGTGCAGAATCTCAGGCTAAGACCCACTGGATAGGAACTGGAGCACTAAAGATCTTTCCATATGAGGCTGTGTAGCACAGTGAAGTTCAAGCAGCACTATCTTAGTCTCCTTAAACTCTGGGAGTTGTCAAAGTTACTGGACTGAAAATTTTAGTTTATCCAGTGTTTCAGACACTGGAGATAAAGTATATTAATAAGTATTAATAATGAGACAGAACACCAAGAATGTAAGCGAAAACAGGTAAAGCAGGAGGCAAACAGTTTTTGAACAGGAAGGGATTGCTCATCCTTCTGTGGAGCAGCTGACGGATTCGAACTGTGTACCTTCAGGATTGCAGCACAACTTTTTAAAAAAAAAATTGTCTCTGTCTTTTAAAATACCACTATATGGCCTTGTTAAACTTTATTTAAACTAAACTCAGTTGTTTTTAAAATAGTCTAGGCCATGACTATAATATCTCAAAAATAGTGATCGCTTTCAATTTGGTTCACTTCAATTTAGTAGAAGATTTAATTAGTCAAAATTTCCCTATCATTATGAAATAGTTTTCTGAAATTTTTTTTTCTTCTCTCCACTGTAGGTGCTTTTAAGCCCTGTGAATATTTACTCGGAAGCTGGATGATACGTCTTACTGTGTGGTTCATTTTCCTGGTGGCCTTGTTTTTCAACCTGCTTGTCATTTTGACAACCTTTGCATCTTGCACATCACTGACTTCTTCTAAATTGTTCATAGGCTTGATTTCTGTGTCTAACTTACTCATGGGAATCTACACTGGCATCTTGACTTTTCTGGATGCTGTGTCCTGGGGCAGATTTGCTGACTTTGGCATTTGGTGGGAGACCGGCAGTGGCTGCAAAGTAGCCGGGTTCCTTGCTGTTTTCTCCTCAGAAAGTGCCATATTTTTATTAACATTAGCAGCCATCGAAAGAAGCTTATCTGTCATGAAAAATGGGAAAAGCAATCATCTCAAACAATTCCGGGGTGCTGCTGTTTTTGCTTTCCTGGGTGCTGCAGTAGCAGGCTGTTTCCCCCTTTTCCACAGAGGGGAATATTCTGCATCGCCCCTGTGTTTGCCTTTCCCTACCGGGGAAACGCCGTCTTTGGGATTTACTGTAACCTTAGTGCTCTTAAACTCACTAGCATTTTTATTAATGGCCATCATCTACACTAAACTTTACTGCAACTTGGAAAAAGAGGACCTGTCCGAGAACTCACAGTCTAGCATGATTAAGCACGTTGCTTGGCTAATATTCACCAATTGCATCTTTTTCTGCCCTGTTGCATTTTTCTCGTTTGCCCCATTGATCACTGCCATCTCTATCAGTCCGGAAATAATGAAGTCTGTCACACTGATATTTTTCCCGTTGCCCACTTGTCTGAATCCAGTCCTGTATGTTTTCTTCAACCCAAAGTTTAAAGAAGACTGGAAGTTACTGAAGCGACGTATTACAAAGAAAAGTGGATCCGTGTCAGTTTCCATCAGTAGCCAGGGAGGCTGCGTGGAGCAGGATTTCTACTATGACTGTGGCATGTACTCCCACTTGCAGGGTAACTTGACTGTGTGTGACTGCTGTGAATCGTTTCTTTTGACAAAGCCGATATCGTGCAAACACTTAATAAAGTCACACAGCTGCCCTGCACTGGCAGTGGCCTCCTGTCAAAGAGCAGATGGCTACTGGTCCGACTGTGGCACGCAGTCTGCCCACTCTGACTACGCAGACGAAGAGGATTCCTTTGTCTCGGACAGTTCTGACCAGGTGCAGGCCTGTGGACGAGCCTGCTTCTATCAGAGTCGAGGATTCCCTTTGGTGCGCTATGCCTATAATCTACCTAGAGTCAAAGACTGAGTTCAGTGTGTTTTGTACCTGTTTGCCCCACCAACCAAAATCACGGTGTTTATAGAGTGAACTTTATTCTGCTCTTGCATCTGGAAAGCACTTCTGTAATCACTGCCTGGGGTCACTTCGAAGAAAAGGAAGGTGGTGGTCTGTTTCTCAAACCATGCATTTTCAAAGAACAGGTGCCTAGATTATCATTTGGGGAGGGAGGAGGTAGGACAATATTCAAGCTATTGTGTGGTTTATTTGAAATGTTTTTAACTTGAAAAAGGATTTTAGGTAGAGTAGCAATTGACTCTTGAAGGAGCTCTGGTGATGCAATGGTTCAGCTCTCGGCTGCTAATCGAATGGTCGGTGGTTCAAACCCACTAGCTGCTCCTTGGGGGAAAGATTATCAGCAGTCTGCTTCTGTAAAGACTCAGAGCTTTGGGGATCCTGTGAACAAGTCCTGTCTCACAGGGTCCCTGGGAGACAGAACCGAATGGCATTGGGTTTGGGTTGGGTCACAGTTTAGAAATATGTTCGCCTCCTCCAATCTATAAGAAGTAAATTTATACCGATTTCTGAATTAAGCACAAAATAAAGAACAGCTGTTAATATTTTTTTAAAAATGTGATTTTTTTATATATCTAAATAAAAAGTCTTGCTAATTTGAATGTTTCTTAGTATATTATCTCTAACTCTTTTAGTATATTAATCTCAGGACAATTTACTGCAGGGCCAAAAAGGGGATTATTTCCCAGGTAGAACTGTGAAAGTATACATAGGCATTATGTTATCGTGTTTTCTATTTCCATCTTTAATGTAATAGGATCATAAATTTTGCTTTAAGTGATTTACAAATCTAAAACCTTAAAGTGTTTTTAAAACAATATTAACAGCTGCTAGATTTTTTTTTTTAAGAAGAAGGTGAACGTTTATTTTTTGTTATTTTACATTGCTTTGGAGCAAACACAGTAATTTTTTCCTCAGACTTTTATCATCACACTAATAGGGAAAAAAAATAAAGGGCTAATAAATAACTGTGTACATCTTAATGATGTGTCCTAATTGTTAACTAATATGGAACTTTTAGTAACATCTGAAGAATCTGCTGGCTCCATGTAATGTTCCCATTAACCAAAAGATCAGTGGTTCAAATCCACTAGCTACTCAACAGGAAACTAATGTAGCAGTTTTCCTCCATAAAGACTTAAAACCTTAAAAACCTTTGGGGCATTTTTATTCTGTCCACTATACACAGTGCGCCAGAATCAATCCAACAACAGTGGGTTTAGTTTTAATTTTGGAACAACATTGGCTTTACAGAATTCTCCAGTTGTGATGGTATGATATCTTTAGCTTAAAATATAAAGTAGATTGTAGTAAAGAATTACATTTAATTGGGAGAGTTTGGAGTAAATATGAAAGCACTAAGACTCTTTTTTTTTTTTAGTAAGCTACATTTCCTGAACCTGTACTAATATTATATTGACATTTTCCTGCATCGCCCCCAGCCCCACCCCCCCCCCCCCACTTACTGTGATTACAAAGGGAGTTTTGGTGGCCTGATGGGTAAGGAGTTGTGCTGCCAACCCAAAAGCAGGTGGTTCTAATCCACTAGCTGCTCCACAGAGAAAGATGGGCAGTCTCCTTCCATGAGATACACAGCCTCTGAAAATTACCTGGGAGGGTAAGCTGTCAGATCAGCTTGGTAACAGTGAGTGGAGAGTAAGATTCCAAAGTGCCCATTCAGCAGCCCAGATGCAGAGCTACAGTGATAACAGACAAAGATGTCACTAAGAGAAAGAAAAAATAGGAAAGAAGCTTAGTCCTGTGCCAGTGGAATTTTACTTGATTCTTTTATGGGCTTTTGGCATGTCACTGTGGAGTCTTAAAGTTGTAAGTGTTCAGTATGTTTTTGAACAGTGTACTAAATCTCCACAAACCCATTGCCATATTAGTTGTTCTGGATATACTAAAAACAAAACAAAGCAAAAACACCATTAAGCTAGATTGCAGTTTAATAATTAAACTGTATATACTGTGCATATAATGAATTTTTATCCTCTGTAAATTATGTTTAGGACACAAGTTGGGAAAATGTAGCTTCTGTTCATTTCGTTTAATTAAAGCTACCTCCTAAACGATAGTGGCTGCAGTAGCAGAATGTTAAATTGTGGATTATATACTTTTTTGCATTGTAAATAGTCTTGGTTGTACATTGTCATTGTAATAAAAACAATCTTTGTATATCAAAATCATGTAGTTTGTACAAAATATGGGAGGAATTTATTTACAGTGTGTTGTAATTTTGTAAGGCCAACTATTCACAAGTTTTAAAAATTGCTATCATGTTTGTATATTTACACATCTGAAAAATATTAAATCATAACTTGGTAAAAATAACCTAGTGAAAACGATTCATTTTTATTCAGATTACTAAAAGCTTATTCCATTCATATAGAAAATAGAAGAATTTTTATTTGGTAAACCACTGTAAGTATGGTGTGGAATATAAAATACTCCATATTTCACATTATTAAAGTTTTTAGAAACTCAGACATTTTAGAAAGTATGACCTTTTGTCATAATTTACAGCTAGGTACATAAATGAATTGACTTAGTGTAAAAGTGAAAATATAGGGAGCTGTATTTTTCTAGAGTTGTGCTCTTAACTCAAAGGCCAACCCTATCTGGCAGGTTTGAATCCACCAGCAGCTCCATAAGAGAATGATGGTCAGTCTCATCCCATGTGCTTAATAACTTTGAAAAACCCACTAGAGTGTCAGTTATAAGTTGGTTCCCACTCAATGTCAGTGAGTGAGTAATTGTTAAAAAAAAAAAAAAAACCCAAAGAATTTTCATAATAAAGTATAAAATGTGCCAATCGTGGTGTAATGGGCACCCATGGTGGACAGTGTTGGCTGGAGCTTCCCGACTAAATCAAGCCTGGAAGCAGGAGCGGCATCCACTTCCAAAATGGCTTACCTCTGGAAACTATGTACGAACAGTGCTCAGGCTGTTCATTCATAGGGTCGCTATGAGTCATCTACGACTCGACGGCATTAAACAACAATAACAATGACGACCACCAAGACAGAGCTACGTTAGCCTAGTGAAAGAAAGCTGTGCTACCAAGCCAAAGGTAGGTGATTGTCATCTGTGGCCCTCGGTCAGGTTCAAATTGTCTTCCTGTCAAACATTCTTCCAGGTGGTATGGCACTGGTCTGTGCGTTGCTGTACAGAGGTAACTCGTGGTTGCTGTGATGCTGAACCCTGTGACAGTGATGTGCCAATCGTGGTAATGGGCACCCATGGTGGACAGTGTTGGCTGGAGCTTCCCGACTAAATCAAGCCTGGAAGCAGGAGCGGTATCCACTTCCAAAATGGCTTGCCTGCGGAAACTCTCTATGTACGAACAGTGCTCAGGCTGTTCGTTCATAGGGTCGCTATGAGTCGTCTGCGACTCGACGGCATTAAACAACAACAACAACATGTTGAGGGGATTCAAACAAGTTTAGAAGCAGGAGCAGCATCCACTTCCATAATAGCTTGCTTCTGGAAACCCTATGAACCTGGAGAGAGGACGAAAGGCACCCAAGTGTCGAGGACTGTCCTTCATAGGGTCGCTATGAGTCGCCTGCAACTCAACAGCACTTAACAACAATAATATCAACATAGAGATCAGCTAGCCCAGTGGACAGAAAGCAATGCTACCAAGCCAACAGTGGGTGACTTAATCTGCAGCCCTCGGGCCTGTCTTTCATTGTTTTTGTTCAGACATTCCTCTAAGTCGTATAGCCCTGGTGTACAAGTTGCCATACCACGGTCACTTGTGGTTGCTGTGAGGCTGAACACTGTGACACTGATGTGTCAAATGCGTTAATGGTTGGCTACCCAATGCGGACAGAGAGTGGGGTGAAGCTCCCTGAAGAAAACAAGCTTAGAAGGAGGAGTGGCATCCACTTCCATAATAGCTTGCCTCCGGAAAGCCTATGAACCTGGAGAGAGGATGAAAGGCACCCAAGCGTTGAGGACTCTCCTTCATAGGGTCTCTATGAGTCGCCTGCGACTTGACGGCACTTAACGACAATAACATCAACAGAGAGAGATCAGCTGGCCCAGTGGACAGAAAGTGATGCTACTGAGCTAAAGGTGGGTGACTTTTAACAACAGCAACAACATGGTCAAAGGGATACAGCGCTACTTTGATATTTTGATACTTGGGATTTTGTGGTAATAGAAGACTAGCCCTTGGACTGCCAAAAGAAGGAATAAATCTGTCTTGGAGGAAGTGCTGCCAGGGTGCTCCTGAGAGGCAATGATGGGGAAGCTTGGTCTCCTATACTTTGGGTATGTTCTTGGGAGGGGCCAGTCCTTTTATTATGCCGGGAGAGAGGATCTGCAGTGGGATGAGTCTAAAATAGCTTCATATTTAAGGTAGAGTTTGCTAAGATTTAGAAACAAGATGGTATTTTACCTTTAGTTTGAACCATTCCCATGGAAAACAAATTGTGAAATCAATTCTTTAAAAGCCAACGACTAACAATTTTCACAGTATCTACTGATCCTACAGACAACTCTCTATTCATGATCCCTAAACTCGGATTTTAAAAATTAAGAGGGCATAATAAAATTTAAGTGAATACCTTAGTCATTTGAAAAATAGAACTCAGACCAAAATCTAAGTCCTTTTAATCTGGACAAAGTTGACTTTAAACCTTAATATATGTTTGAAATTTCCATAATAGCCATATGCCCATCACCTGACTTTGACATTCATCAATAGCACATAATCAACCTTGTTTTATTTTTATCCCACTGAGTAACCCTCCCTAATGCCCTTGGATTACTTTTAACAAATACAAGATAGCCTATTGTTTCATCTGCAAATACTTAAGTATGCCCAGATATACTTGTGTGTGTGTGTGTGTGTGTGTGTG